GTTTATACCACCCTATTTCAACATGATTTCTCCATAATCTTGCATATATGTTAGATAAATACACTTGTAGTTTAGAGTTTTATTAAAAAGAAATAACGGGTTGTCACATACTTCCAGCTTGAAAAGGAAGGGCCCGACCTGATCTCACCGTATTCGTCAATGTTTTCCGCATTATGTGATTTTGGGATTATGTACTCTGATGATAATTTTACTATGATACATTTTGGTTTATTTGACATGATTATTGAGTGTTTGAGAATGATTTAAAAATAAAAACATTTGTCTAAAATATTTGGGATGTTACAGAACCTCAAGATTAAGTGCTTAATGATTATGTCATGTTATGCTCTTGCCCTTTTTGGACCAAGGAGTTGTGATCTTGATCTCTTGGTGAGTCTTCAGGGATAAAATTGGAAACATTATCCATATGGACCATAGAATGGACCAGATCTAAGCTTTGGAGCCCTTAGAATCAAAGAAAACATTTTAACTCATTAAGATGTTAGAAACCCAATGCCCACGATGTGGCCTTAGGTCGCCATTGCGTGGCGACTGGGAAATGCCCGTCTATTTCGTTGTTTTACTGCCACGACGTGGCCAAGGATGGCCATGATGTGGCGACCAACTGGGGGTTGAACTTTGAATTTTGACTGTTAACCGTTGAATTTGACCAAATTTCACTTTAGGTCAAATGGGTAGTTTGAGTAGGAGATTGAGGCTTGGTCCCTGTTTGAAGTTTAGGTGATATGTTGTAACAATTGATACTTTTGGCACCGATTGTTATTATGAAAAGTTACCAACGTAGAATATAGTAGACTTAATACGTAAATTATATCAATATATGATAAAAATCTAAAGTTTCGTATTAAGAAAAATAGGAAAAATCAAAAAATCGTCCGTAAGTTGTAAATATTAGTGCGCTGAAGTATACATATATATATATATATATATATATATATATATATATATATATATATATATATATATATATATATATATATATATATATAATATTATATTTAGAAAGTACACATCTTCCCAGTCTCGAAAATATAAATTTTGTAAAAATCCAAGTTCATATGAAGGAGATATGAATTTTATTAGATATAAAAATCAGCCGCGTAGTTAAACTTATTAACGTCAAAAGGTACGGAGAGAATGGTTGACTTTTGGGTAAAGTCACCAAAACAATAATCGTAGTACTCGTAAAAATAGGAATTTTGGTAAAAGGGATGATAAAATCGGAGTCCGTACGAGAGAGTTATGATTTGTACAAAATTATTAAATCATATAAAAATAAGGGCGAAAAATTAGCCAATACAACCAACAGGGAAGATTTAGTACCCGTCGAGGGCTACACGTAGATATAAAGAACTTTGAAAACGGAGCTCGTATGAAGAAGTTATAGATTATTGAAGTTTTGCGAAAAACGTCCGTCGCAAGGAAGTTGCTCCGTGCACAATCTTCTAGAAGGGTGACGTGGACAACCATGAAAATTGATATGTGGCACCCCAGGTACCTCCCATTTCATGGGGCACAACCAAATACATGCAGCGCACTTCCAAAAATTTCCTATAAAAGAGCGATGTTTGCCCCTCTTTCCTTTACAACTAATTCTCTAATTTCCTCTTGACTATGCATAAAAAATCTCTTATAAAAGTAAGAAAATTTTAATGTTATATTTATATTTTAGTTATATATTGATAATAATTTCGAGTCCGAGCGATACTGAGGCGATCTTCGAGTCCCGAGTCCCGAGTCCCGATTCTACCCTACATTTAACAGTATGTTTTAAAAAAAAATAATAAATAATAAACGCTAGAACCCCGAGACATATTTTTTTTAAAGTATTGTATTTTAGCCCTAAATCCATAATAGCTTATTGGCGTCAGCCTTGGGAGTAAAATGTTATAAATTCGGGAACTTATGGTTTAAATGGTATCATGTGGACGTGTGTTGAATAGATTTTGGGAAGCAAGGGCTAAATGGTAAATTCCGGATTCAAGTTGTAAAGATTTTTGAGGGCAGGGGCTGTTAGGTAAGTTTTGGACTTAACTTGACAAAGGCTTGTGGAGGCGGGGCTGAACTTGGAAAAGGGAACACAAGTTTGGTATGGACACGGGAATGGAACCCGACGCTTATTCCCTCCTGTATGAAGATCCACCAGCTAACCCTAAACCTAAATGAGATTCAGCCCCCGCCACCATTCTTGGAGCTCTCAGCCGCCGATTGCATCACAAGTCCAACACAGCTGCTACAAGGCCGTCGAACATCGCCAACGCGACACCTGCTGCCGGAGACGTTGCAAGCAACCGGAAGATCATTGATGACTGAAGGAGGGTTGTGTCGTCGTTGTGTGAGGGTCGTGATTCGCTGGAACTGCACGGTAAGTCCACAACAACCTACCTCCTCTCTCTTCCTCATTTTTTCTGTGAATACGACATCGGGAACGTCGTTACTATCGTCGGTGGCCTTGGTCGCCATTTTGCTTATTCCAGCGCCATCTTCCGCCTAGTCGGTGGATGGGAGATGTGGCCTCGTGTCACGTTTGTTCATATGTTGCTGCTAGAAACCTGTGAAGCACGTAGGCCGGAGGTGAGGCGAACCACCATGGCAGCCTACCATAGTGGCTGCCGCCACTATTTTTTGTTTTCTGCCACCCTCTACCACCACCTGCCACCGCAAGGGTGGTTGTATGGGTGCATTTATTGTGTATTTTACGTGTGTGTGTGTTGGCGGCGTTATCTCGGATGTACGATTTTTGGCCGGAAAAACTCACCACTACCACCGTGAGGTGGTGGCTGCCGCTGTGAGCCGCCATCAACCACCACCGCCCAAGGTGGCAGTGGGTGGTGCTCGACATAATGAAACCCTAATCGTCCTAATAGCTTGATCTTGGACTTCATGGGCTTTTGATTGGGTTGACAACCCTAATTAGGGTTTAGAAAACCCTAATTTTGGAAAATGTTAGTTTTGGATTGCCAGGAACCGCGTTTGGACTGTTAGACTGGAATTTTGATTCATATCCAACTACATTGTATTAATGGCCTAATGGAGTGATGGTCTTGATGGGTTAAGTCCGTAATGGGTTAAGTAAGAATAATTAACCCTAATCGTCATTTCATGTGAGAAACCCTAATTTTGGTTGGGCCTTGAGTTGGGCCTTTCTGTTGGGTTTTAATGATTAGGCTCTTCATGGGCCATCTAAGAACAGATATATGGACTAGAATATTTGGATTGGGCTTTAGGACAAGGCCTATTGGACATTCTCGAGCCCAATTGGGAAAATTAGGCCATAGATGGGCCATAATTTGGGCCTTGATGATTATCAGATATTGGACCAGTGGACTGCCAAGTGTTTGGACGAGAATAGATGGTTGGGCCTTAAGGTAAGACCATGTAGAGGTTTGGGCCCAATTTGGAAAATTGGGCCATATGTTGGGCTTTGTTTCATTGTTTGGCTTTTAGGCCTTGGGCTTGAATCAAGCTAAGTTGGGGGTAAGGTAGTATTTTATCCCAGGCATGGACTTATGTTGGAACCCAATTATTAATTGGGTGTTATTTTGATGTTGACAGTTTGGGAATCTGTTATTCAGCAGCTACAGTTTTGTCCGCGGGACTTCAATAGTACGATATGAGTTTCCTTCAGTAGGAACGAGTCGAAGGCACAATTGTCGGCCCGTGTAGAGTATGTATGGTACTTAGCAGGTAAGTGTGGGCAGGGCCCGTATCTTAGAATTATTATGTTTAGTAGCTAAGTGTGGGCTGGGCCCGTATCGTAGACTTGTTTATGATTAGTAGCTAAGTGTAGGCAGGGCCCGTATCTTAGCATTATCTGAGTATGTGTTTGTTTATGTATGTGAGTGTGGGTGGGGCCCGTATCTCATAGAGTGTGGGCGAAGGCTCGCATCTCATCATTAGCTGAGTGTGGACGGGGCCCGTATCTCATAGTATCATTCGAGTATGTATATAGGACTGATTGATAGAATTGATTATACTTGTTGTCTATGTGATACTTGTATGTATGCTTAGTAGCTGAGTGTGGGCGGGGCCCGTATCTCCTAGTTAGCCGAGTGTGGGCGGGGCTCGTATCTCGTAGTCAGCGGAGTGTGGGCGGGGCCCGTATCTCCTAGTAGCATGATTATTTGTATTGTATGTGGTAGTTTGGGGAGACTCACTAAGCTTCGTGCTTACAATTTTCAATTTTGGTTTTAGGTACTTCCGGTAGACAAAGGGAAGAGCTCGGGATGATTGCAGTGCACACACCATTCGTTCAGCATGGGATGTTTAGACTCTGATATTTTGACACTTAATTTTGATACAATATTTAGTTATGATGGTTTAAGATACATGACTTATGATCTTTATTGTGATTTTTGATGAATTATGGTTTTCTTAAATGACTTTAAAACGAAATTTTTGGACCTTATTTTTGGGTTGTTTCACTACATCAGCGGTATCACGCTTCAATGGTGAGTTTCACGGCCCATTTTTCAATTTTTTCTAAAATATAGGAGGGGGAGATACATATTATAAAACTACTTTATCACTTTTAAAAAATATTATTATTTGTAATATATTAAGTAGTTTATGCGATACATACATTAGGATAATATGTCGGTAGAAACCTTGAGTAGTTTTAAGCAATGATATTATGCCTAGTCGTTATACTGGCCTAGTTTATAGGATAACCTTGGGCAAATGTCATATTAACCCATCAAACTTATCTTATTTGTTTTAAAAGGACACTTAAATATTTTTTTTGCACATTAAGGGAATGAACTTACATTTCCCTGTTTTAAAATACCCTTATGTTACCTGAAACCGGGTTCAAAGGTAATATACATGCCACGAAGGAAAATGTCGTTGCCAGGTCACTAAATGAAATGGCTATGTGTAGTACATTTATCTTAATTTGTTTTAAAGAAACCGATTGCATTCTACAATCGCCTCCTCCTCATTGAAGAAACCCCTCGTCCCACCATAGTTACTGTAGATCGATGGCTATCTTCTTCTCAGTCAAAGTTCATTTCCAAGGTGTGTTCATCAACAAACCTTTTTGCTATTCTGATGGTGTTCATCATGTGTTTAAGAATATCAATTTTGTTGGTATGTCATATAATGAATTTGTGGTTTTCTTGAATGATTCACACAAGTGTGAGAAAATTTATTATTGTCAACCTGATTTACAAATCCCAGAAGGTTTAACCTTGATTTCTAATGAGCTTCATTATCAAGAATTTATAGACATTTCTTATCGATGTGGAGTACAACTTCCTATTTACATGGAACTTTTTTGGTACTATTGTGCACGTAACTAAGGAAAATGAAAATGAAGATAATTGTTGTGTGAAGTCCAAACTGTCAATGGAAGGGGAAGAAGGTATTGACCTAACTGACTTCATGAGTCCACAACAAAGCAACATGGAAGGAGTAACCTTTGAAGGAGTAAGTCAAGTTAATGGAAATGAGGATGCCGTAGAAGGTGATCCAAAAGATGACAATGTCCCAGATGTTGAAGAGGACAATGTCTTAGATGTGAAAGGAAAACCAATGTTTAATGAAGACATATTGTAACACCCCCATCTTGGTATGTTCGATTTTCCCCTTCTTTTTTAAAAGTTACATTTTTAGCCCTTAAAGCTGGTACGCGGGGCGTACCACTTGGTACGCTTAGCGTACTGGCTAGAGTTGGATCGGGACAGCGGGTGCGTACGCTGGGTGTACATGTGACTTTCATAAACCCTAAAGTGGGGCGTTGCACCATATATATATATATATATTCATTCTTAACCTTTAGGGTTGGCCTCATTTCTTGTCCCTAAACCTCCAGAAAACCCTAATCGTCCCCTTAGCCTCCATTATTGCATTTTTGAGATTTTGAAGAGAAATTTGTGTTGATTTGGTCCATCTTTGAAGAACCTTGAAGAGAGTGAAGTTCATAGCTTGGTGGGAGAGTTGAGATCCAGAACCCTTCATCACATTGCAAGTTTCCCAAGGTATAAACTTCAAACCTTGAATTTTCAATGTCTAGTTTTCTTTATGGGTTGATTTGGCACACTTTTGGTCCCTTTTTGCATGTATTAATGGTTTGGGACAATTTGAAGGGACCATTTCACTAGATCTGACCTTCTTAGAGGCTTCCTTGACATAAAGGTGCCAACTTTATGGGGTTTTAGTCATCATTCATGCGTTAAGCCATTTATTAAGTCATTTCTAAGCTTAATAGCTTCATTTAGCCATTCATGAACATAAAGTTAGCAAATTTTCGTGTTATTTCAGCTCATGGAAGTCAGGTCTACGTTTTGGGGCTTTGTCTTAAAGTATTAAGAGCTTAATCGGAGTTTTGGCTTAGCAGGGGATTACGCTGGGCATACAAGCCAATACGTGCAACGTACAAGCCTCAATGCGAGTATTCTTAGCGTACAACTGGGTACGCCCCGCGTACTCAGTCTGTGGGTTTTGCAGTCTTGGGCTTCAAGTTTGGGCCACCTTTTTGGGCTTAGATGCTTGGGACCTCTTTGGGCCATCTGAGTGTTGATGTTTTGGGCCAAGTTAAGGATTGGACTTTGGGGTAAGGTCCAAGTTGGAGTTTGGACCAATTCGGAAAATTAGGCCAATTATGGGCCTTTGATGGTTATTTAGTGATTGGGCCTTTTTGGATCAAGAATTTAGGTCTGGGTCTTAGCCCAACTAACTAAAGAGTAAAGTCTCCATTTACCCTAATAATGGACTTTTAGCTTGGATTGTAATCTAAGTATTAATTGGATGATTATTATGTTGTGATAGTGCGGGGATTTCTGTGAGCCAGCAGTCAGAGACTTTAAGTGGGATTCAGCTGTGTGAGGTTAGTTCTCCTCACTGTACTTGCGGGTCGAAGGCATCAATATCGACCCATTGGATTGATGTTCTGTTATGCATGCTTTTGTGTTGTTGATATCTATAGATCGTTATCCTGGTAGATAGGATGACGCTATGCTTAGTGGTCTGTAAGATCTGTCTGTTTGTTTGTTGGTTGGTTAATGGTATTGTTTATCTGTTATATGTGCACATGTTTTGTTGGTGGCTGAGGCTTCACTGCTTTGTGTGTAAGCCAACAGGCCGGGGACATTCCAACTCGACGGTTGAGGGCCTAGGGTATTGCATCCCGTGGATGATTGGACCCATAATATATTGGAATTCCAACCCGATGGTTGAGGGGCCTAGGGTATTCCAACCCGATGGTTGATTGGACCTTGTAACAACCCGATATTTCAAGACAATGTATTGACTAAAAGTCAAATGTGGGAATCCCTTTTTGAATTAATTGAAATAACATCAAAAATGAAATGTTCGAAAGTCTCACTTTGAGTGTACTAAGTGGTAGATATCGTAACAAGGTTTCCAAAAACATAAAGAACATTAAAATCCGAGTTATAACGAAGGAGTTATGACCAATCGAAGATCCGCAACAAAACCGACAAAACACTGTTAAGCGCAAAATACGAAATTCCGATAAAATACTTTTTAGCGTTAAGTATCTAAATGAAAGTAGTAGATATCATTAAACCGTAAACATACATAAAAAGAACGCCCAAATCTGACTTCGTATGAGGAAGTTATGATTTTTCGAAGTTTCTGACCTAGCAGTAGACAGCTAAAAACTTGAAATAGAGATCGAGCGGTCGTTAGCCGACACAACCTAAACGAAAGTTGAAGACCCCGACAATAGGAGTACAATAGTAAAAAGTCTGACGAAAATGGACATCAGATGAAGGAGTTATGGAATTTAAACGGACTTTTCCAGGCCCAGCCTGTTAAAAATAATATAATAAAAATAAATTCAAAATTAGCCGACGGAGTCTAAACGAGAGTTGTAGAGCCTTTTCACACCTAGGTGTGCATATAAAGAACGTCGAAATCGGAGCTCGTACGCGAAAGTTACGGATTTTACAAGTTCGGGACACAAAACCCGAGGCTGACTCAGCCTCACGACGTGAGGGAACCATGCTCACGACGTGAGCTCGTGACTGATGGGTTCCAGAGTGTCAGCCACGTCAAATCGTCGAAGAGGATCATGCTGACTAAGCCTCACGACGTGAGCAATCCAAAACTCACGACGTGAGACCCCAAATCAGCCCCTATAAATAGAAGCTTAAGGGTGCCGGGTTTGGTGCTCATCTCTTTCCATCTAAGTGCCGTTACTCTGCGTGATTACCTCGAGAAGCCTTCCCGAAGCCCCGGTTTTTTTCATACTCGAGTCCCAAAGGAAGTTCTACACTCCCGAGGTCCCCGAGAATCCCGAGATTTCAACTCTCTTTAGTCGAAGTTCTGCTCGATTCTTCTCTCGACTACTTCAAAACAATCACTTCAATCAAGTGAGTTCATACCCCCATTTCTACACTTTTAACTGATTTTAAATACTTTTGAACACTTTACGGGGGAGAATACAAGTAAACAAACGGTTAATCCTGTGTGAAAACATCTATCTTTCGTTATACATTTCAGACTGTTTTTAATAACTATCACATGGATCATGTCTAACATACAAAACATCTTACTTTACTTTACCCTCACGGAATGGAATATGAGTATAAATATCATAAGCTCTATTTATACGTTTACATCATATTTAGGGTAACCACTTTCGTTATGACATCTTTATACATACAAGATCATACAAATCATTTTATGCCTTTATTATCATTATGAAAAAGGATAATCGTTACAGAAACAAACATATACATTTTAATACGTGACTTAATTGAGAACTCGTGAGGCATTCATCTTCAATATACCTTTTAAAGGTACCACTAGAAGTCCTGTTTATAACCAGAATCTCCCGTCCGGAGAACGTGACAAGTGTATAGATCTATACGGGACTAATGATCCCGCGCCCTGACTGCTAGCTACAGTCCCCGGGGTGACAAGTGTGATCTCATTTCGACGCCTGAAGAACGTCGCTACAGGCAAACTATGATAGTACGGTTATAAAAACTCACTGGATAGACAATTATTATGGTATTACATTTTAATGGGGAAAAGTAACAGATACAGTTCTTTTCACATTCAAATACAAATCTTCTTGTAGTTTTGTTTTATAATAAGACTACAACATCATTATTTTGAGCATGTCATATTTGCTTACAAATTACGGTCTTGGACATTTAAGACTGCATCTCATTTAGGAAAATATAGGATTTTCCTGGTTCAACTACATACAGTTTATACAACGATCTTTCATACTCATTACATACATTTGTTAGAAAATATCGGATTTTCTGGAAAACATACACGAACTTTCGAATGGCATACATTTTATCAAAACACTACTTATAAACTCACCAACTTTGTTCTTGACACTTTTTCTTTGAAATAACTTGTATTCTCAGGAAAACGCTAAATCAGGTAGCAACTACTTTTTGAAGACTAACGCGCTGGCGTTAGTAATATATTTTGGATCACCATATTGTATTTGATATTTAAACATGTAACACATACAATCATGTAAACTTTTCAAATATATTTATATTATGGTGGTGTGTACTTTCTTTACTATTCAATTGTTATGATACTGTACATGACGTCCTCCGCCCCCGAACGTTTCCGCCGTTCTGGTTTGGGGGTGTGACAGACCTATAGTATGTTGGCATTCCAACCCGATGGTTGAGGGCATGGGGTATTCCACCATGATCGTTGATTGGACCCATAGTATGTTGTTATTGTATATGTGTTATTTGTTGTGTTGGTACTTTGAGGGAAATCACTAAGCTTGGGCTTATAGTTTTGGGTTATGTTTCAGGTACCTCAGATGATCACGATAAGGCAAAGGCTTGATCGTGCACCTCATCATGTTTTGTTTTATGATCTTTGGGAAAACTCTAATAATAAGTATGTTTTGAAAACTATTTTGTAAACAATGGTGGTTTGTGGAAATGTTTAAAAAGTTTAATTTTTTCATGGAATTTATGGATGTTACACATATCTTGTAAGAAGTAGTTGCCAATTCTAGGTATGAGGTTATCCAACCCTAAACAATTGAAATTCATGCTTTGTAATTATACTGTAGCCAATGGGTATCAACTATACTATGAAAAAAATAACAGTAAAAGGTTATTAGTTAAGTGTTGTGATGGTGAATGCACATTTAGGCTCTGGGCGTCATAGATGAGTGAGGAGCACTCATTCTAAATCAATTCCCTTATCAATTAGCATAATTGTGCAAGCAATTTTAAGTTTGGGTCAATTGGTAATTATAGATGGATTGGTAGTCATTTCACCAGGGAAGTTCTTGAGAATTAGAAATTCAATGTTAGGATGTTATAAGAGGAAGCAAAGACTAAATTTGGCATAGAGGTTAGTATGGGACAATGTAGGAGAGCTAAGCAACATGTAGTGTCTCTTGTTGAAGGTACCGTAGTGGAAAATTATGCAAAGTTGTGGTCCTGTGGTGAGGAGATAAGAAGGTCTAATCTACGTTCAACAATCAAGTTTTCTATGAACTCTATGCTAAATGGGAAAACTTACGTTAGGATTATATATATATATATATATATATATATATATATATATATATATATATATATATATATATATAT